TAACTACTTCGCAATATTACATTTTAAACCTCTTAAAAAGTATAATATTAACTTTAAAAGTAAATTATTTTAGATCGAAAATAAAGAGTCGGTATTCTCATACAGTCATTACTGAAAATTGCCAACTGAAAACTTTTAAGTATAGAAATTAGGGCGGGAAAAGTCTATTAAATTGTTGAACACCATTTTTTTATTATGTACTGCCAATTGAAGAAATAATGCATTTTAATATTATATCTGTAAAATAATTAGAAAACGAAGGTTACTGAGATTAAAATAAATGAAAAGTGAAACGTTTCTAGTTGGGTAAATATTCGTGATCATGAAAAAATCTTATTAGGTCTTTATACAAAGCTGGTTTCAATCGGTTCGTGTCATAAAAGTTTGAGACAAATTATAAAATAAAATATCAACAACTATCTAGCAAGCCGTTTTAAGGTTCCTGAAATGCTGGCCTGTATACTAAAGATACATTTATTTCAATGAGAAAATTTGTTTCTCGATCTTTAATTTATTACTATGCGCACTAACGAACCGATAATTTATCAATATTTACAGAAACAAGACATACGGCTGTAGTAAATGTCATTCGTCATGCTAAACGGCTAGTGCTTTGTCTTTTTGAATGGAAATTTTTGAAGAAAATGAATATGTTAAGGAAAAATAAATCCAACAGTATTACCACTACGGAAACACGTGTACAAAAACTTTTGCCATTGCTCTCATTCTCTTTAAAAAGTACAGAAATTACTAGAAGTTTTTACATCTGTTTTGTCAGTGGAAACCTAGGATTTACATGACAGATGATAATTAAACGTGTCTACATTTATTAACTGTTTTAGAAGATTTGTCTCTTCGTGCAATTTGTTAAGTGCATCCGGTCGTAAAGACAATTTACTAATTAAAATACTCGTAAACGTAAATATTTCTTTAAATGGATTTTTATATGTACCATTTAAGAACCAATTAGTAATAAGTATCATAAAAATACTGTTTGAAATTACATAGTTTATTCTCGACAACATATACGATACGTGTTCCGCTTTCCTAAAATTAAATATAATAAAATTGTTTCCACTAGTCCTGTCTGATCTAAATTAGCCTATAATATGGTTAAAAAAATCATAAAAGAAAATGTATTTTGTTCAATACTTACGTCATGAGTAACTTTTTAGGCTTTGTGACGAGTCTCTTTGAAGCATGGTCAATGCTCAATGGATCCCGAAATAGATTGAGCCGTTGACTTGATTATCCACGTCAGCAGCCAGGGTCAATGCGTTAACCTTGCGATATCAGCGGTGTCTGAAAGGAAATCGTACTACAATCCAATATTCCGGCGAACATTGTTACCACATTGCACGCTTGCAAAATTCTTTAATCGCGCCAATACAATTTTTATTTTGTTCGACGCAAAAACTGTCAAATGGGACAGACTTCTTGCCAAGTATTGTCAACACTCGCGGCACGACCTTTTGTGTGGCTGCAATAGAGTTTCGGAATTGTGAAGACGTGCTTCAATTGATATTACAACAAATCTGTCAATTCCAGAATCAATTTCGTGAAGTCATGGACATCATAAGATTAGCTTTCATCTTAACATTTTTTCATAATGCATAAACTGGGTAACACTTGGAAATTGGTCAATTTAGTTAGCAGAAGTTTTTTACTAGTCTATTTACTCTTCTTTTGAAAGCATTCATACTGTAATTGGATGGAAATACTGACGTCGGAAAATTCTTTTTCTATTTGCTTGCACAATATTTTTCTACGATGGACTGCTGTAAATAACTATGAATGTACTAACACCTTACTGTCAACCCCTTAATTTTTGGTTACTTTGGTAATCCCATCGTAGTTTTTGTGAAAGAAATCTATACTTTGCGACTGCTTAAATTACAATTATACTTCTCTGAGTGTGTCCGTCACTAAATACAAGATGGTTAAATATATAGGAAATAGCTTTATTGGTATTGTTTGTTTCAATGTTGTTGAATTAGAAAGGGCGATTGTAAATATGAAAGTTACTGACAGGCAGTAAATAAGGCATCGGCGTAAGTATAATACTATATGTTCAGTTCAATTCCTCGTTGTATTGAAGGTTAATATTCTATCTAGTTTTTTAATTAATACAGTTACATTTTAATTTTGTTCCACATTATTTCTTTTAAACCTGCTCAAAGTTATATTGCCTTAATTTACATATAGATAGTATATCAGTGACACCCTTGTATATATTCTCCATACAATTAGTTCATGGATTTTGTTTTTTTTGTTTACAGCCAGACAGTTTCCATGTTTCAGTATGAAAAAAGATATGAGAGCATTATATGTGGATTTTTATCGATAAATGAGAGAGATAATAATATAAATAAACGAATAGTTTGGCTAAGTACAGTGAACAAGAAATTTTCATGAATAAAATCGTGTTATAGTTTTTTACACCTAATTAGCTTCTTAATAAATGTCTTGAAATAGACACGTGTGTTTTACATACTATATAATTATTTAAATTTACTTGTGGTAAAATTTTCCTACAAAAATAAACCAGCATATTTAATGTAGACAAAGTTTAAAAACATGTTATCATAATAAATTCGGTGTTCTGAGAAGACGTTACGGATATACGCCTAAAAGTGTGATTCTAAATTTGTCAGTAAATATTTACATTTGGACAAGTATTCCGTGTTTAAGAGCGTTATGATGAAAAAAATTAACATTTAAGACAAGACCAACACTGTTTACAGCATTGTCAAAACTTATGAAAATAATACGTATTACTACAATGGTGCGTTTTAATCCGGACATAAGTACGAACATAAGTTGTGAATTCTAAAATATTGTTTAGTAATTCCTAAACATAAAAAAATTTCCTGACAATTCCGACAAAACATGCAATTAAATAAATAATTTGTAAATAGAATTCCGGCGATATTTGTCCACTCGTGCACAACTGTCTTTAACAAACATTAAATGAGTATTTGTAAACGTAACATAATAGCCAATTTGGTGATTACATTTTAATGTTATCAATTCGTAATAAGATGTATTTAATCGTGCCTCAGTATGTCGGAAATCGGACCAAGTTAATCTGAAATAAAGGATCTCGACACGTGACAGTGCCATTAAATTATAAAATAGCTTCATTTTAATTTCATCTGCTGGAAAATGAGCGGCAAATTCCATTTATCAACATATTTACTTGTTTACATCAGATGGAGCAATAATTATGTGATATAAACTTTTAGTTACATTTTAATACTTTTACACCGTCGTTCGGTATTTTTAAAAGCCTCTATAACATAATTTTTAATACATATAGTTAACTATATATAATTTTTTGAAGAAAAAAAACGTTTAAAAATATCACAACGCATAACTGAATAAAATTCTCCGTAACATTCTTGGTAAAGATAATCATCTCTTTATAACCTAATTTAAATAAAATATTCAACAACTTGTTTATGTAGCTTTTCTCGTTAATTATTAACTTTTTTTCAATTTGAGATTGAAAATTAGGCAACAATTTTGTATTATAACTATGGGCAATATTTTAGAAAAATGTCTGCAAATTGCCGCTACCGTTCGTATTGGTTGTAATTAGTTGATTGCAGATATGTTAAATATGTTTATGAAATACGGCACAGATATACAAGTGGTATAACAAATAAATATACCTTTACACTTTATTATACGAAAACATTTTTCTCTTTTTCGAAGTAACATCTTATGTTAAGAGCGTCGGTGGCTCAGGGGTTTTAACACTTGACTTGTAATCTGCAGGTCCTGGATTCGAATCCCGCCATGTACCAAAGTGTTTTTCGATTTCCGATTTACATATGTTCATTTATCCGACGTTCTTACGGTGAAGGAAAACATCATGATGCAACCTGCACATATCTGAGAAGAAATTCATAGATATGTGTGAAGTCAACCAACCAGCAATTAGCCAACGTGGTTGAATATAGCCTAGTCACCCTCAACTTAGGGTAGGCTTCGAGCCCCTCAGTGGGGGCGTATAGTGAGCTGATGATGATGTTATGTTATTTCGCATGACTTATTAGTATATGTATTATATATTTTAAGCGTTTGATGGGAAAATAATCAATAGTGTACATATATAAATTAATATGTAGGAAACGAAATTGTATGTAAAGTGATTATTTTTCCTGCAGTGCCATATAATGTCATTTATGATGATTATCTTTCAGTCAGTCGTGATATATTTACTAAATTATTTATCACTTGTAAAATTTTGATGTCATATTTTACCAAACACCATGTAACCTCAGTATTATATGGTTTTTACGCATCATTGTCGTATGCGGGCACGGGTCCGTAATCAGCTCCCGTGGAAGTTTCCTACGCCCGAGTTCCTTGAACTGATAGCCGGGTTTCACTCGCCTGCTGCGACAACTGCAATTAGTGCAGCAAGACTTGCTTAATGCTATTAAGTATGGATCGCTTGAGTTGACCAACATAAATATATTGTAAAATTATAAAAATATTACTTTATACGGACCTCTGTAACTGATAAACCGAATTATGTTACCCAATAATTACGTTGCAGATCCGAGAAGCCTCTTTTGAAGAATAATTACTATTTAAAAAATATAAAATCAGTAGGAACAGGCAAAACTTGTAAAGAAAACTAGAAACGTCAAATAATCATGTCCCTCGGCGTATTAAAAATAAAATCAATTTTGTATTACCCATAATATTGATAATTTTTAAGAAATACTTATAAAATCTATCGTATCCGAGTCAACAATAAGAACGTGATGATAAAATAGGTTACTTCTCAACTCTCTGATTTACAAAAGCCTGATTTTTTTGCAATGTCATTGTAAGTAGACCGGAAGTGTGTTATATAATGTGTTACATTTAGGTAATTATGTTTTGATTGATTGGGTGATCTTCTGTCAATACGCGCGCCTGTGGGGAGGTAAGTTAGCGGTATATAGGCGGGAAAGGTATTGCGCGTGCGCGTATTTGCAGGCTGTGTTTGTTGCGCGCATGACGGCTCAGCTGCGGCATCGGCGCGGTCGCAGAACCGCGATCTCATAAACACAAAGTGAATCTTTATTGGACACAAGTTTTAGATTTAAAATTTTTCAAAATTTAATTAATTAATATACTTGTTAAGTTAATATTAGTTTGATTTTTTTAGTGATACTTGTGATAATTAATAACTTAAAATGTTGACGGGATGGAAATTGCTTTTATCAAAACGTAAGTTTTTTGCTTAAATGTATTATTTTTAATTTACTTAGGATTACGCTTAGTCAACACCGAGAACAACACCTTAAACTAAATAGATTAGACAAATACAAAAATGTTTACATCTTTTTAAACAAAGTATTATTTTTTTATGTGTTTTTCCCTTAGTTACTTTTGCCTATTTTAATAATAGCTTCTAACACGTAATTTTATATTTCACAAAGAACATATAGAATTTTTGTATAAATAACAGAAAAAAAACGAATTTGCATAATCAATTAATTATTCGTAAGAATAAATATGTTTTTTTCTATTTATTTACCTGTCGCAATATAAAACGTTGAACCATAGCGTTTAGAAAAAGCTACAGTAAATATAGCTTATCGTACAAAGTTTCCATCTATTCTTGACGTATTATTTTATCGAAATAATCTTAAGTGCTTAAATACTAAATATAACAAGGAACAATTCGAAGATAATTACAAGAACAAATATCGTTGAACTTTTCACTTGAATTAACAGAAATCTCGAAACCCTTAACCGGTCATCGTAACAATCAGATAATGTTAGCAGTTACCGTTGGTTTCTAAGACCAAAATCTCTGTATAACATAACGTCATCCCTGTCATTATCATTGACAAAACAGAGATAACAAAATGTTTTAAAGGGGGATTTCGGTCTCAGAAACCCACGGTTTAAATCCACTACGTGCTTTGCCCAATTAATGCTTTGTTTAAAAAATAACGAATGTAATAGCATCTCAGCATCATTGGACGGAAAAGCTTATAGTAAAAAAAATTACAATTATTCTTTCTTTGATTTTACTTAATTGTCTAATTAAGTTAGAAAACTTAGTTTAAATATGCGTCACGTTTGTCCACTCTCGATGTTAGACACGTGTGCCACGTGCCTTGCATTAACCGATTTCCTCAAAGGATACAAAGAAAGGTTTTATACTCGGAATTCTATACGATGAGCTCTTTAACGAAATAATCCATTCCTATTTACTTATCCAAAATAATTAATTAATATGTACATAAATTAATTGTTCATAACAGTAAAAAAACAATAAAAAGGTGTTGTGTCCTTAGATCTAACACTTTTCTAGAAATTTCCGTAACTTAAAGGTTTGTTTATATTTCGTTACGATAGGTTATCTGGTAACAGTAAATTCTTGGTTCTTCCCCAAATAAGTATAGTTAACAAGTACATTAATCCACTTTTCCGTAGTAACAGTGGGGACTTTTTATCTACATAAGAATATACTTAAGTTTAGCACGTCTTAGGAAAACGTTCACATTGAAATAATTAACACCACAGTCATTATGACAAATAAATAATAAGCAAGTAAAAGGAAATTAAGATAAACTTAAGTAACTAATAATGATAGTGAAGTTGTAGTGTCATGTAGTTTTATTTTTTAATATTTGATATTAGTTGTCTTCATACGTTACAATATTTGATATGCATTAAGACGGAAGGTGCAGAGCAAACAATTCGGGGAGCAGTTACACCGATGCAAGGTTAACCGCAATATTCACATCCTATTTGTGGTTAACATTCGTATTACAGTTTCTAGAGCGTGAATGTTCATAAACCATTTATTTATTTATTTACACTCATTATTTCTTATTACCTTTTACAAACAACAACAATATTAAAAAAGACCTAACGGATTTGATTCCATCGAGAACTTTTTAATTTTATGCCTAAAATTCTTAATAATATATCTGTCTCTTATAACCCAACGTACATAGAGCAGCAATAGCGTTACTGTACTCAAGATAGGAGTACACTTTTCAATCAATAAAATTAACCTGTACCGATAACATAATGGACCTCGGAGCATCTCTAATGGGTTCATTTCACAGTCGAGTGGATTTTGATTTATAAATTAACCAACAATCCGCCCCATCTCGACCTCAACATTTGTTCTAACACAAACGTTACGTTTTGTATTGTGTTTCGTGACGGCGTATTAATGAATGCGTTACGCTTTAACACGTTTAAATTAAAATTTTCATTACTGCCAGACTTCTTATTCTTTACCCTGTCAACGGCACTAATTATACCATATAACTGTACACTCTGTCACGTGTATACTTACAAGTAACATAATTTTCAACACGTGGACTTTTGCCTAACGCAAGCGGGGCCCTTACGATTAATGAACTACGTCCTAAGAAACCTGGATGGAATAATTAAGTGTCGTAATTAATTCTATAAAGACATAAAAGACAAAAATCTTACATAAAGTGGGAAACGGGCATAACTAATCTCATCTCTTCATGATTCGTATACTTTAAAATCTTTTTGGGATACACGACTTACAGCTCAATAACAATAACCTTATCTTACGTTGTACATAAGTTCTTTATGTCCACTTTCTTCTAAGGGCGTCGTTAGCATTGGATAGTAATTCCGCCATTTATCTCGCCTGCTCTAAGTCATAAACGCGAACACAGCGGCTTGATTAACTGCATTAAGGTGAAAGGGAGCCGAGCCTGTCGAACGACTCTCCTGTAGCCATTAGCAATTAGACTGCGCATTCCCGACCACACGCGAATTTACCGATTAATGTATCAAGGCGCTAGAGGCATAATGTCAAGGGTTTTGTCTAAGTCTTCGTTCATTCTTGGACATAGCCACCACAAGCCATAAGTCGTAACGACGATTTAATCGCCGTTCTCCCAAATTTTTATGGCGTTATAATTTAAGTATGTATGTCCCTACGCCTCAATGTAAATTACATTTAATCGTTAAAATAATAAGTAATTGCCCCTTTCTTTTCCTGGAAAGATGTATTGTTTAAATAATGATTTCCCGCAGTGTCTCCCCGACACAACGCCAGCCTGTCTACCGAGTGCCGAGTAGAACTGGTCGGGCTCGAAGGACCAGTCGGCCGCCCCGATAGAAATCTGTTCGGCGTTGTGTTCTGATAAAAACCATCACTTCTAACGAGTTTCTCAATTCCAATACCAATTTAGTCAAAGCCACTCCGTAAGTGCGGGTGGTGGAGCAGTCTCTCCTTATTAATATGAATTTTATCGACCCATTAATGGTTAACATCGGTCGGGATTTCTGCCTTCAATTCGACCGCTCGCAAACTGACGTATGTTAACGGGCATACAGATACATCTTGGTATTCAACACATATACGACATTCGAGCGGAAACTATAAAAACTTTTTCGTGAGACGAATACAAAATTACTCTTTATAGGAACGATTCTCTTGAATTTATTCCTTTGTTCCATATTTGATAATCGAATTGACATTCAATTTCTTTTTATGTGGTACTTTTCCAAAGAGAATTAAGTTGAAAAAATGTAAGGCATGAGGAGTTTAAGTTCAGTTGCTTGAATTTCGTAGCAATGGGGTCGTGAATTACAATGCCGAAAGTGACCACGCAGTTAGCGTGTGTAAATTGGGTTACATATTTCAATTGTAATTAAGTCTATTTGGTACCTTACACTGTGTATAAAGTATGTAATTATAATTAGTTGAGGGACAAAGAATAGTAAGTTGTATTTTTCTTGTTGTAAAAACAATTTACGTTTTAAGGACCATTGTTGTTGTTTTCCGTACAAAATTTATACAGATGTAAGTGATAAAATCAAGTTTTATTTATAGTTTGTGTTTGACTTCGCTTGAGTGAATTTTTATTTTTAGTTACCTATTAATGACGTATTTATTTGGTCTTATAAAATAAAAGATAAATTTCTCACTTAATTCATTCTGATATTTTAAATTCACAATTCAAAGTGCATAGAAATGTAATTAGCGGGAAGAATAACAGAGAATCATAATAAAACTAGTACAATTTTCTTGTCGCGTGAAACCAACAATGTATTCATAAGTTTCGTATCAACAAGGCTTTACGTCACAGTATAGCAAATTGAATTGTTGAATGCGATGCCATAACAAAATACACAATGCGTCCTGCACTCCCAGTTGCATGGTTCGTTGCCCACCAAAGCTATCTAAAGAATACCAACCGCCGTTAATTCGCACGCGACATGTGTCTGAATCTTGTCACCTGTCACTGTGATTGAAAATTGCCATAATTAATTAATGATGCCATCATTACGGATGACACAGGAAGTCTAGACCAAGGGATTTGATTTACAAGATTGATAATTGTTAATCAATCTTTGTACCGCAAGATCTTGTCAATAAAAATAAAACATTTAAAAGAGGATAACCTACGATATCTAGCCGCAGTTACGTGTAGTTTTTCACTGCTTTCCTTTACGATTATAATAAATCTTTAAAATTGTCTAAGTTTTTACGATGATGTTTAAAATACTTATTGATATGTGGTGGTTGTAAAACTAAATGTAACTGGAACTAAGGTTACAATTACGTGCGAGAACGTGAATATTTTAAATTCAGTTCACAATGGTAATTTATTTTATAGATAGTAAAACCAAACACATGAGGTATTTGGATCGTGTATGTGGCATTGAATATAACTGGATAATAAAGAATTGACAATAGTTTATTTACAATACACAAAAACTATTACCAAATTTCAAATTTCTGAAGGTTTAAGTAAAGATAACAAACAATATTTAAAATATTTCTATATATGCATAAGCTGGTAAATCAAGCCCGTAAACTAGACAGCAATTAAAGATTTTCATTTGACGCAGATAAAAATAACCTGATCTAAATTTTTTTTTCTATACTAAAATCTTTATTTAAATCTCATATTTTAACATTTGAGAATATGTTAAATATTCTACATTTAACATATTCGACCGTGTACATGGAACTTGTTATTTTTTACCTCACCGAGAGACCCAGAGGACATTCACCTGAGGATGAGCGATCGTCTGCCCACGACAGTAATATCGGAGAAAAATATGCTTGCTTATGTTTTATAGTACCAGATATACAGTAAATTAACAGACATAGATTATTTACAAACTCTAAATAGAGTGTTTTATACAAAAACTTCAAATTCAAAAAAATCGAAGTGTCTGTAAAAGCAGTTGTGCTTGAAGACTCCATAACACTTGTATTTTTTAAATTGTAATATGTAATGTGTTCCTTGTGTTTATTTCATAGCTCGGTAACCTGAACATATTTTTAATTCGAATTAATAGGGAAGCGGAAACTCTATATCTTTATATTAATCAGTTCCGTCTTCCTTTTGTTTAGAAGGAAAAATGAAATTAATCACGTAGAATAGTTGAAAAATGTACAGCATCTAAACATTACAATGGTAATTTTTTTATTACTCCAAAGTATCTTTAAAATGCGTACAAGTGTAACTAATAACGGAACACATTTTATTTTTCGTTTTTGTCATGGCCGATTTAACTCATTAAATTTTACTAATATTATAAATGCGAATGTTTGGATGGATGGATAATGGTTACAAAGTATCCCTAGAATGGTTGAATAGACCTCACCGAAATGTAGCATAGATGTAGAACATAGTCGGGCCGAATTCATAGCTTACAGTTTTTTTTTAATATCGCGTGGACCGAGTTGCGTGCGACAGCTAGTTCAAATATATTTTACAACTTTCATAGCTCCAAAATTATAAAACATTATAAATGCATGGATACATGCAAACAATGTACTGTGAAGGAGGACCTCAGGTGAATGCAAGGCAATAAATTGTAAAAGACAAAACTTTCTTCTGGTTTCACTTAACTTTAACTTAGTCCGAACAAACAAGGCAATAGCAATATACACTTGTTTAGCAATTAAGTTGCATGGACTCGGTTTCACTGAGCTTCTGTTTAGCGGTCGAAGAACAATGACCAAAATATACCAAAAATAATCACAAAAGATTGCACATCTTTTATGAATGAACGTTTAAACAAGTGACATTCGTTTCTGTTAGAATTAGAAAATAAGTGTTTTTAAAAAGATTTTTTCTAACTTGGCGACTGTAGTCTACTCAACGGGTAGTCCTCAACTTACTTGTTAATTGTAACAGAGATTATATTAAAAAATAATTATTACGTCACATGAATGTACAGCTGAAAATGACGCCACGTTATATCAGAAATTGCAACAAGTACAACTGTCGATGCGAGTAATTACTTTGGCTTTCTAGCGATCAAGAAAGCCGATATTTATGTTAATGCTTCAGCCCGAAAGTGCTACATCAGTATTACATCGACATAAACGTTCTTTTATTTAAAATCAATATTGAAATTGAGTAATTATTACTTAATTCGTTTTTAAATGTTATCGATCATGTAAATGTATTATGTAGGTAATTAATAACTGTGTCCTTTCAAGGCGGATATAGCCCGCATCGAGCGCGTGCCAGTAAGGAATTGGAACAAGCTCTCAATTTCAATCTTCGGTCAAATTTTGAAATCGTTACCTGTCCATATTTATAGTATTAATATTACAACACAACAATCACTTGCTTTTCGGACTCGACTATGAATTTTGATATAATAATGATGGCTATTTTTCGTTTAAAAGTTTACAATTCTTCAATTTATAAAGATTGTTGCTGTCGTTGGAATGAATTCCATACCTAAATTAGATGTGAATATAATGTCTATTTTCTCTTTTAATCCACAAATATTGGCTCCCTCTCATTTTTTAACAAGTAATATTTGTTTGCAGTATTCATAATACCTCAGCGATGGGTGATGGCGATCATGGGCTTCCTTGCGGTTGCGAACGCATACACGATGCGCGTCTGCCTCAACATCGCTATCACGCAGATGGTGCGCCGGCGCGCTCACTCCCTCGCGCACGACCACGGCTCCTGCCCCGGAGACTTAGAAGAAACTGCCGGCGACGCCACCGTAAGTTTTAACATTAGCACCTGCCAAAAGTTTTAAGTTTTCGTAACGTCATCGACATATTATTATTTTGACGTACGAAGACATAATGACAGTTGACATGTTACATCTAAAGAATACATCCATGATCACCTATGTGTTCCCGTCGCTCGTTGGCCCCCTTGTCTTATAAAGAAAATAGGGTTATTATGCATTTCAAATCTATTTATCATTCATAGTCGCTCCCCTCCATTTGAATCTTGTATAACTACTAATATTAGCGAGTAATATGTAGATGAGACGTTTATGGACTTCTATTCTATTTTTATTTAAAAGTCTATGAACTTCATTAAAATAAATGAATTCCTTAATAAGTTTCTTTTAGACAAATATTAGAACAACTTTATTGAGATTTACGTTGGGAATTCTTTTTGACAAATTTAGACTAATTATGCATATTCCTTTCTGTTATAGACTTGTGGCTTTTTACATAATAATTACTGTGACTAAATAGAGCAAGTTAAATTTAGTACTAATTAGTTACATTTAACACTGTTTAAGAGTTATTTTGTATTGTTTTGAATTACTTTGTTATTGCAAACCTCAGAATTTGACCATTAAAATAACCCTTATCCTCTGGCATCAAAAGTTTTATGTAAGTTTTTATTCTAGGAAATAAGCGGATATGACTGGGATGAGGAAACCCAGGGGATCATTCTCAGTGCATTCTACTATGGGTACATAGTGACGCATCTACCTGGTGGAATGTTGGCGGAGAGGTTCGGAGGGAAGTATTCACTCGGGTTCGGCGTTCTTAGCACAGCCGTGTTTACTTTGTTCACCCCCTGGACAGTCGCAACTGGAGGCGCCACTGGCCTCATCATATTACGAGTGCTGGAAGGATTAGGAGAAGTTAGTATAACTTTTAATCAGTACAAAATAAAACTACTTAACATTTACATGATGCGCACTATTTTTGCAGTATAGTCTTATTCACTATTCCTTTAAATATACCCAACGCAATTGTTTTAGCTTTGCGGTACGTAATCTTTATTCATTGCATTTTGTATTTTCATACGACTATAGAGTTGATGAATAAAAGAAAAGATTGAATAGTTTTATGTCTTCCCTGATTGAGTCATATCACCATTCACAGACAGAATCATAAGACTATTCTTAATTCAAAATGTATGAATTTGAAATCTAATATCCTTTATTCGTTTACCCAGGGTACAACATTCCCAGCTCTGAACGCGATGTTGGCTCGTTGGGCGCCAGTGTCAGAGCGTGGGCGGATGGGCTCCCTAGTGTTCGGCGGGGCACAAATAGGCAACATCGCCGGTACTTATCTCTCCGGTTTCGTTATCAAGGAAACCGGTGAATGGCAATCAGTCTTCTATCTGTTCGGCGCTGTTGGCATCTTATGGTTTATACTTTGGGTGAGTTCTCATTTGGATAAAGTAAAATATAAATTGTTTACTATGATTCTTAAATATGTATAGTATATGTACTTGTATAACAATATTTATGTATAATACTGGCCAAAAATAACAAAAATTATGTTTATATTTCGTTGTATGTTTTTATATAATTCAATCATAACGATATATCATTTTGTTTCGCAGGCTATACTGTGTTACAATGATCCGGAATCGCATCCCTACATTTCTGACAAGGAAAAGAAATACTTAGAAGAAGCACTCGGCAGACATCAGAACAGCCAGCCGTCTGCTATACCTTGGAAAGCGATATTCATGTCCGTGCCGCTTTGGGCCCTAGTATGCGCACAGGTAAAAAAAAATATAACATACTTTTTTACACATTTTACTTATTAGCGAAGCCTACGCGACTTAAGTTATCCGGCAATCTATAAGTGATCCAGTATCGTGGTATTGAACGTTCAATTCGTAAAGGTTTAAATTTAATTGATCTGTGCTTGAATTATTGATTAAATTCTGGTTGAATCCGGTTAAAATAACGGTAAGAAGATATTAAGATGTTAATTGAACCTTGACATTTATCGATGGTGTGAGGTAGCGGTTAATGGTTCCGATAATGGAATAAGCCAATAATGTATTTTTATATAATACGTCACGTCAAATAAGCGTGTTGAAGTGCGTACGCCTTAGTACAAAGAATATAGAGTCACGTGTGAAATACCGTATTAGTTTTACACTGACATAAATAATACCACTTCGCCAATGACCCGAATGGGTTGGGGAAAATTATGGCATGCCATTTATTATGATCTTAACACTTCTTTAGCTTCATCATCTATGTATGCTCATCGCTGATACCAAACGCTTGAAATTATACATAAAACATAACTTCCAGATCGGCCACGATTACGGCTACTTTACCATGGTGACTGACCTGCCGAAATACATGACGGGCGTGCTCAAGTTCGACATCCACCGCACAGGCACGCTCGCTGCACTGCCGTACGCTGTCATGTGGCTCAGCTCCATCGTCTTCGGTTGGCTCTGCGATAACATGGTCAAGAGGAACTGGCTCACCGTTACCAACGCAAGAAAGACATTCACTACAATAGGTAGGTTTTAAAGACCTCTTTCTCTTATTTACATTATTTTTTTTAGTTCCTGGTAGGCTTTGATAATGCTTTTTAGATCGCTTATTAAAGCTACATAATAATTGCATAATCTTCGATGTCTTCACACATAACTTCAATAGGTATTTAGTCATTTTGCACTGCTATTCTTCGAGATTTTAATTGTAATTGCAAATTACGTTGTTATGCAACATTTAAACGTGTATAGTTAACAAAGTAAATAAATTTTTAATTTTATATTTACATCAGGAATTTCCGTGTTTTGTATGCGCTTTGCGATTACGCATATTCATATGACACCAACGTTAACCGTAATTTTATTGCAATTAAATCCTTCTTTCACACACTACCTTACTTTTTGTTGTATTTTTACAAAAAGTTTATTTAAAGATGAATGTTCTATAGACTTTTGTCTATACTATCTTATTAATATTATAAACGCGAATGTTTAGCGGGATGGATGCTTCTTTGAATGTATCTCAGGAACTGCTCAACGAATCCCGCTGAAACTTTAATTCCGCGAGGTCGGAGTACTAGGCGACAGCTAGGAGATAATTTTCGCTAAAAATATTTATTTTATTTTATTTTTCCCATTATTCATCTTTTTTATCAGTTATTCTAGTTCAAAGCAAGGAAAAGGTTCTCTAAATATTTCAGTTCGCAAGTAAATTGATAATTAGACTCCGATTTATGTAATTGTCTAATTGTAAGTATTTACATCGGTATTAACAGTTTAAGATTTCAATTAAAAAAATACATTTTTTTTGTAATTAAAATAATTACTATTATTGCTTACATTTTATCCGTTTGCGAATGCCTTGGAATCTCGTGCAATACGCGTAGCGGTTGCTGACGTCATAACTACGTTGCTCCTTTTACCGCGTCTGAATAGAACAATTATTAATTAAACATACATTTAAAAGGCCCTTTTAAGTACCAAAGCTATGGCAGGATCCTAACAAATATCTGACTGATCTGTATTGATCTGCTAAGAATCTCCAAAAGAGGGACAGAATCTATGAGACATGCTAATATTCGATTTGCTACTTTTGATTCGCAATATTGCAAAGACTGTGTTTGGTTTCACGTCATAGACATTGTAAATGGTAATGTCGTTTGATAGGGGCTGACGGTAACGGACAGTAGCTGCGCTGCAAGCGATCTGCCGGAACAAACGGGTGCTATGCAACCGACATAGACTCGCGACACGCTTTCGCCTAGTCAGCGATTAGTATTCCTTCCCAATGCACCTACAGGCCACGACAAATCTCGTGCTGTAACCAGTACCTTTCCCTTCACTCGGTTAACGCATGTTTTCCTGCCTTGTAAACGTACATTGCTGTACATTAACAACGTAGTGTAAATTTTAAGAGATAACACAAAGGCAAAAAGTGTTTTATACTTTTATGTCCATATTTTATGTGACGCTAGCTAAGCACCACCGAGGGCCTCGCAGCCTACCTTAGTTCGGGGTGACTAGGACCTAGTGAACCACGCTAGTCCGGTGCGGGTTGCTTGACTTCACATATATATTTGAATTTCCCGATACGCAGGTTACATGACGTTCCTACACCATAAGAACGTCGGATAGATGTACATACATATGAAATTCGAAAATCGAAATACACACAAACATAGCAGGGATCTAAGATGGACATATATAGCTTTTGGTCGGGCCGGTCAAGCGCCTAACAACTGCGCCAACGACATTTTATGTATGCTTGCTCTGAAACTATACAGTCTTTAAAACAGACCACATAAATTCCTTAATACAGACATTCACTTATATTTGGTACACCTGTGCAAATATATTGTGTGTATGTCTACAAAAATAACGTCAACTATTAACTATACTATTATTCATTCGTCTCAATATAATAATTTTATATACTTGATCTGATATGCAGATTGAATACAGGCGCTTTAGTTATGACACCACGACGACGTAGACCGTAGACCTTGTTCAATATTATTTTGCTGTAGTTTAACGATTTTCCTAACAATTTGTCCAAGGTTCGGAGTATTAATTAAATCAGGACAACGAAGTAAGAACCGGCGTCTTTAAAAACTTCTAAAACCAAACGATCTTTAATTAAATCTTTTTTCCAGCTTCCGTGGGTCCTGGTATCTGCATGATCCTGGCATCATACTCCGGCTGCAACACTGAAACTGTAGTCATCTTGTTCACGGCTTCCATGGGCCTGATGGGCGCTTTCTACCCTGGAATGAAGGTGAACGCGCTGGACCTGAGCAGCAACTACGCGGGAACCATCATGGCGATAGTCAACGGTATCGGCGCTATCACTGGAATCATCGCACCGTATCTTGTCGGATTACTAACTCCTGATGTAAGTGAAACTTAATATTACCGGAGAATAGCTAAGAAATTATCACTTCTTCAAATTATCATAAAGGTTTTCTACATAGTCACTTTACCTAAACCTATATAATGCTATAGTTTACAACTGATGCGTATTACATCACATCGTAATCCTATATTTAATAATGGGTCCTTTCAACCTCTGTAATTAGTTTTGTAAAAGTTAAATCTGTTTCACAATATTGCATGCTGAACTAGACTGGTTTTACTTCACGGTGATTATTCTTATAATCAAAATAAAATAACAATATGAAATGAAAAATACGATTAAACGAAAGAATCGAGTCAAGGCCAATAACTGACAATTAACTTTTATAATTATTTTATTACTTCATTCGCATAATGTGCAATAATTAAAAAAATAATATAAGGCAACAATTATTAGTTCTTTGTCCTTTTAGTACCAAATTAGAGGTATTATTCTGAGAAATCATAACAAAGAAGATCACAACAAGATAATGGCATCAAATTGCTTTATTATTTTTGTAACAGAACGGTACGCGAAACAAATTGTATCGAATTACAATACTTGTCTCAGCTTATTAGCGAAAACTAATATGATAATCGTATGTACGCACCTGCCTTGTTTCATACAAGTTTGACGTTCACACATAAGACGCTCTTCAAAATGTTATTTCTGTGCGTGATGCAAATGATTTTATTTAATTCTGCACAGAGGAAGTTGTGGGCAACTGCTATTAACACAGCAGCAAGTACAACAGCTAGTATGTTATATATTGAATTCAGATTTTCTGCATTACAGAGTACCCTCGTTCAATGGCGATTGGTGTTTTGGATAACATTGGCAGTATTCATATTGACGAATTTGGTTTTCGTGGCATGGGCGTCCGGCGACGAGCAATGGTGGAACCGGCCAGCACAAGACAATAAGAAACAACAGGAGATTGAAATCCCAACAACTAATTCCATCAACACTGATATTAGACTGTAAATATAGACATAGGTAAATTATAGGATCATTTATATTCAGTGCAATGCTGCACTTGTTTTATTTAATCGATTATTTTCGATAAATCGATTTTATACGATTCCAAGATGAATAGGTTAATCGATAAATCGGTTAAATATTGATACGCTGTCCAATTACTTTTTACGAAACTCGGTTTAAAACGGGTATCATTTTATTATTGATTTTAAATTGTTTAAAATCTATGGACTTTTATTGTTTAATAAACAATAAAATATCGTTACAATCTATACAGCTAATCTAATGCTGTATAGATTAGATTGTAAAGATATTTTATTGTTTATTAAAATGTACCGAGCAAGCGTACATATTTTGAATTACATTTTATGTAAAACCGATAGTGATAGGAATGTTTTTATTCATTTATGGTTAAATTAAGAAAATGGTTAATGATTGTTTATCCCCTGCAAATGATTAAAATTATTGATGATGTTATTTACTTTCAAATAAGTGCCTAGCTGCAAGAGATTCAAACCAATAAATTATAGAGCGGACATCATTTAGCATTAACTACAAAGTTTTCATCAAACAAATAAGTTTGACAACGACCATTTGACATGCGGGCGTGTCAAAATAGACTAGCATAAAGATAACAATTCTTGGATTATGCTTTTGTTTATGATGTCCCATCTATAAATAAATGAGTTAAATGTCTTTGGTATAAGTACAAAAACCATAAAGTATTCTTTGAATTATTGACAATTCGTTGAAAATATTTTCAAGCTGCCAGTGCTATGTGATAGAATTAGCGTATTATAATTTTTAATTGAATGTTTGTATGTGACTATATTTTTGATGAATTATTTCAATATAATAATAAACAATGATATTAGATTACGTTTTAATTGAGTAAAATTTAGATAAATTTGCATAATGGCAATACTTTCGCTAAATCTAACTTTATTTGTTGACGACAATAATACTAAACACTTTCTGAATCAGTTTCTTCAGGTTAACATACATCTCCAGAAACATTCCTAGGAAAAAAATAATTGAAAAGCATATTTTTCTTACATTTATGTGAATCAATCTATTACCTATTTATTTCTCTAATATAACGACAGGGATGCTTGTTATCAAACACCTCGTAAACAATAACTTAAAAGTAAAAAAAAATATAATTATGTTATCTGGAGATATAAATGGCAAGGACTTCTGTCTTCTGTTTTGCATTTTGTAAATATTGTTGTTTATTGAATATTTTGTAAGAGTTTTCACATTTTATTTTGTTCACAATAATTAAAGAAAAATATATTTAAAAGGCTGTGAACAAATAATATTAAAGTGATGAGTATTGTTTGAGCGCGCGTTTGTGCCATTGAAAAGTTTGTCGTGTGTTTAAAAAAGTTATAAATTATAATTTATCTATTGATATAAGCATTGTTTGAACTTTAGTCTTAATTTATAATTATATCTGAGATAATAGGTTATATTTTGTATACACTACATATTGAATATTATTATTAAATAGAAACTAAATAAATAAAATAATAATTAAAAAAAAGTTTTTTCATTTATTTATAAAAAATTATATAAAATTTAACATATAATTAACAACATAAAAAAATAACATATAATTCACAAAATCTATACTTTAATTTTTTTTCAAACTTTCTTATATTGTTCTAAAATTTAATACAAAAATAAAAATCAAACAAAATTGATAATAATTCATACAAGCGATTTAAAAATACTATTATTATTGTAATAGTCATAAATATGGACACTAATAACGCATAGAATAAAAACAAAAAATGAACTCTACATACCACTAATGTACTATTTATCCATACATTACTAAATACATAACATGAAACATAACAAATTATGTTGCGTTTATAAGAATTACTACTTACTTTAAAGGCTCAATCCAACCTACAGCTGACCAGAGCAACATACAGACGAATTGTTTAAAAATTGCATTTAATTATGTTTTTATTTTTTAATATTTAATGTCATTAAGAAATTATAAAATGTATACGCCTTATAACTAAAACCTCATATGCTACCAAATTAACATTTAAAAAAATTGTAGACATGAAACATGGGGTTGCTTTAATCATGTAATTTGTTATTATTACCAACCCTTAATATACAACACGTATATTAATTTGTGTACGGGTAACACTAACTGCAAATCTGTGGATTTTTTGGCTCTTGTTATTTGTCGCAGTTAAATTTAATTCAACCTACTGAAACATAAGGTTCAAACTCCTGAAAGGTGTTGCTCCATATCCGATCTTATAGCAATTTAGATGCCTCCACCTTGGAACCCTCAGAAGAGTTCCATGACGGAGGAGGGTGTGGCGGTGTCAGTGAGGTCAGTCCGCTGGTTGAGGATGCGCAGCACGTCTTTAGGCTCTATGTGAGTGATGCCGCAGCTTTCCGAGATCTGCTTCGCCTCTGCCGGCTGCTTCACCAACAGAGAGCGCAGCCGGCGCGCCTCCTCGTAGTCCATGTTGAGGAGTTTACATGCTTCCAATAGCCTATAAGCAAATACATTAACTAACTTGGTAGGAAATTAATATGTATCGTTATTATAAAGAATAATGTAAGGCAATAATACGGTGTAACTTTGTGTAGTACCTATTTTAGTCAGTGAACAAGTTTTTGTCATATCACTTAGTATAGGGATGGTGAACCAATAGCAGGAAAAAAAATTTGGGCACATCACTCATCACAAAATTCTTTATGCACTACAAAAAACGTGAAAATCTGCCACCCTAATGTAGTGGTGAACCCTGACCTAGTGGTATAAGGATAAAACAAATAATTACTTTGGCAGGAGGATGAGTTGTGCGACACTCTTGTTGTGCGGTGCGAACGCGGGCAGGATGTTTCGCTTCACGTCGTGTGTGAACTGCATCGTGCCGCCTGTATTGAACCACGTCTCCAACACCATCTCCTTTAAGTATAACAATTATAGAAAACATCTAAGTAATTGAAAGGCAACAAATATACACAATATAGTACTAAACGTTGCACAGTTTTAAAACGCAAATTAAGATATGATTATTTCTTTAACTTTACAGTTCATGTAGTAAAATATTTTTTTTTACAAAACATGGAATTCCATTTATGAAATAGATATGAAGAAATAAAACACACTCGTTTTCTTTACTCTTCCATAAAAAGGGAGATGGACAGAGACCGAAGGAGATAAGGAGTTGCCACTCTGTCGATGTCTTTTTTTCTTCTTTGTTCGGTCGAATCCACAATCCATTGTTTCAGGCTTGAAGTTCGGTTGTCATATGGAGAAAGACAGGCTAATGGATCGCGAAAAAGAGAGAAGAGGGGCGCGGTCTCTCTCTGATATAGCTGGATATTGTTGTGTTTGTGTTTGTGTGATGTAAGGTGGTGCAGCAGTATACCTGCAGCATGAGGTGGTCGAGGCGTGCGGCGAGGTGCGCGCGCAGACGGGCGGCCAGGGGCGGGGCGAGGCTGGCGGTGGCGGAGGCGAGGC